AAAAAAAAAAAAAAAAAAAAAGCCAGACAGTGGATGATTCCATTGATATGAAATATCCAGAACAGGCAAATCCATAGACAGCAGATTAGAGCTGCCAGGGACTGGGGTGGGGGAGTGACTGCTAATGAGATGGGGTCTCCTCTTGAGGGGCCAGAAATATTCTGGAACTAGACAGAGGTGATGGTTGTATAACATAGTGAATGTACTAAATGCCATTGAACTATATACTTTTTTTTGTTTGTTTTTTGAGACAGTCTCACTCTGTTGCACTGGCTAGAGTGCCATGACATCACAGCAATCTCAAACTCCTGTGTTCAAGCAATCCTCTTGCTCTGCCTTCCAAGTAGCTAGGACTACAGGCTCCAGCCACAATACCCAGCTAATTTTTCTATTTTTAGTTGATATGGGGTCTCGCTCTTGCTTAGGCTGGTCTTAAATTCCTGAGCTCAGGCAATCCACCTGCCCTGGCCTTCCAGAGTGCTAGAATTATAGGTGTGAGCCACTGTGCCAGGCCCGAACTGTATACTTTAAAACAATTAATTTCATGTTATATGAGTTTTACTCCAATTAAAACAAAAAAGTAGAAGGTATAATAGATCTCTCCAGGTGGCAAACCGAAATTAGCTTAGTTTCCTTTCTTAAGCTTCAGATATTTAGGGCTTTTTTATATGTATAAGTAACATCCATAGCTTTTATAAAAACAGAGGGCAGGAAAGGGCCCTTCTAATAAAAATCTTAAAATATTGGACAAACAATTTCATATCCCAATATGGACTTCCAAAATCCCCAATTACAAAAACATAATTTTTGTGTCAAAAGCTGCTTTGAGATTTGAATACGTTTGAGTTCCACCCAGGTTTACTGAAGGGAGGGAAAAAAAATGAAAAGCAGCCAACCTCAAACCACAAAAGCAAAATCCAGGGTAGCAGGACAAGGCAGCTCTGTGCCAGAAGGTTCTGGAAGGTTCCAGAAGGTACCAAATCCACCTCTGTGCCTTGCTAGTTCTGAGAACGCCACCAGGCAAGTTGTCACCTCTTTAAGTCTCTACCTCCTCATCTGTAAAATTCATATCCAGTCCCAAAGCAAGCCTGTCCTTCACAGCACCTTCACCACTCAATCCAAACCCCTACCCTTTCTTCATAACCCCAACCCCATACAGGTCTGGATCATCCCAAATCCCTACCCTTTCTTCACAGCCCCAACCCCATACAGGTCTGGGCTCAGTCCCAGCCTCTATTCTGACTTCCTGCCAGAGTATGTGGCTCTTGTTCCCCATAGCAACCATGGGGCCTTCTGAATTCTAAAATCAGAACACAGCCTTTCCCTGCTCATACACCCTCCATAGCTCCCCAGTATCCCACAAGTAGAAGACAGATTTCTCCCTTGGCCTGTATAGTTGGTCCATACCCACCACTCCATCATTATGGCCTACCTTACTTCATTCCTTGAATGCCCAGGCTAGCTCCCCATGCTGCTCTGTTTGCCGTGTACACAATTCTCCAGTCCCAATCACTGCACCCCAAATCTCTGCCCCAGACTGGCTCCTTCACTCTTTCAGGTCTCTGCTTGGGTCCCCTCCTCAGGAGACCTGCTCACTCATCACCCTACCCTGGTTGCACCATATGCTGTGGGTTGATTGGCGGCCCCCCAAAAAGATCTGTTGAAGTCTGAACTTCTGGTGTTTATGAATATGTGTATGCTCTTATTTGGGAACAAGGTCTCTGCAGGTGTAACTAAGATGTAAGTTAAGATGAGGTCACACTGGATTAGTGTGTGCCCTAAATCCCAGGCTTGGTGTCCTTGTAGAAGAGACACAGAGAAAAGGTGGGTGACCACTCCCAAGGATTCTAGCAGCCAACAGACACTGGAAGAGGCAGGGTGCTCAGCCCTGCTAACACCCTGACTCCAGACTTCCAGCCTCCCAAATTTGGGAGATACCAAATTTCCATTGTTTTAAGCCACCCGGTTTGAGTTGCTTTATTGCAGGAGGTCCTGGGAATTGAACACACTGTAAATTATCTTTTTACATTTTCTTCTGTGTCCAGTTGCATTCTGGTATTTCCTCTCTCAATTTTATTAGTTTCCTGTTCTCATCTACCTTTCTTAGGAGACTAAGAAGATGATTAAGCTTGTCCTGGTCCCTGGGGCCAGGCACGAGGCTGGTACAGTGGCACAGCACAGATAAGTGTTCAGTGATAAATAAGGTGGAGACCACAGCTCACAACATGGCATGAAGATAGAACCAAGGACAGGCACTGTCACTGCCCTTCACCTCCCTGGCGAGCTGGCCCATCAGCATCCTCCCACCTGTATCAGGGAGGGGATGGGGCACCATCATGCCCTACTTAAGAGGAAAGACAAAAAGAGCTCACAGAAGGGTGGTGGCCTGAGGACACTTACCCTGACATTACTGCATTTAAGACTCAATGATCCCCTTCCTCATCAGGCAACTGGTGGGCCCAGAGGAGGAAGTGGAAGTCAGCACATTGTCACCAACAACTCCCAGCCCCCAACCCCATCCTTCTGCTGGGGAGTTTCTGGGAAGTAACCCAATCAGGCACAATGGTAATAAAAATGGAGATAATCCAGGTATCCAAACACAAGGGACTATTGGGAACACCAAAGTCCATTCATTCCTGATGATTATGAACTGGCACTTAGGACCCAGGTGGTTCAAGATCGAATGAATCCAAACTATCCCACTGAATAGCTGTGTCACCTCAAGCATATTACCCCCTCTAAGCCTCAGTTTACCCTTCTGCAAAATGGGGCTAAGGATGATCCCCACATCCTGCTGTTCTACCTTCCCTAGGGACACCCAGACCTCCCCATCATGGCCAGCTGGCTGAGACACTCACCAAGATATAATCAGCCCACATGTCCCGAGCTGATTTCAGGGCTGCCTGGCGCAACTTCATGATGTGCTCATAGCGAGAGTCAGACCAGTGTTTGGGGCCCTCTTCATCTGGGTAGGACCTGTGAAGAGGCAGCTATGATGTGGGGGTGGGCAGAGGGCACTGTTAGTTAGAGTCCAGAGAGAGCCTGAGCCACATTGGGAGTAATCAGAGAGGGCTTCCTGGAGGAGGGAATATGTAAGCTGATCTCAAGGCTGGGAAGGAGGGAACATGTCCCTGGCAGATGGCACAGCTTGTACAAAAGCAACCTGGAAGTTAGTAAGAAAGCTCAGAGTGGCTGGTCAGGGGAAAAGGGCCTCTAATGCCAAGCAGGGACATCTCTGAGAGTGAAGGGACGCAGCTAGGGCCTGGCATGGGTGGCTCACACCTGTAAGCCTAGCATTCTGGGAGGCTAAGATGGGAGAATCACTTGAGCTCAGAAGTTCAACAGTGAGACTGCATCTCCACTAAAAATAAAAGGGAAGCAGCCGGGAGAGGAACAGAGCACAGAGCAGAAACACTTAGAGCCTGTCCTTGCAGGATCAGAGGCTGGTCTTTGTATCAAGTAGGTAAAGAAATAAAAACTGTGACACAATGAAAAGAACTGGGGTTCCATGCTGCCTAGGGGCTCATGGGACAACTAAACAGCAGACAAGTGCTAGGGCTGAGACTGAGAAGGAACTAAAGCAGTGGGAGGCCACCAGAAGATCAAGGGAGTGAATGGATTCTAGGTGGAGCCAACAGCTTGGGCAAAGTTCTGGCAGGAAGATTATGACCTATTTGTGAAGCCGAGGGCAGGTCAGGTCAGAGTAGCCAGAGCTTAAAGCTGAACAACTGGGCTGGAGATTCAGAGGCTAAGGGCCTGGGGTTCTGTCCTGGGGCAGTGGGGGGCCATACAGGGTGCATAAGCAGAGGTATAACACAGTCATAGTGGGGGACTCCATGAAGGGCCCAGAATTCACCTGGGTTCCTCTGCTGGCCTCCATTCCACAGAATGGTATAAACTCTTCATAGCCACTAGCCACTCCCGCAGCACGGCTGATGTGTTGTCCATGTTGTGGTCCGTAGCCACCCTGCCAGCAAGAGGAGACAATTGGCACAGTTGGAGAAACTAAGGGAAAACTAGCATTGGGGAAGCTCTGGCTCCACATCCTGGCTCAGTCTTCCAACAGCTATATACCCCTGGGCAGGACACTTTCCTCCTTCCATTCCTCGGTTTCCTCATCTATAACACTGGAGTGAAGACAAGACTTAGTTCACCAAGCCCTGGAGGGTATTAAACAAGCTAATTATGGAAAAACACATTAGCAACTGGTGGTTTTATTAGTGGGTATCTAGGATTCCAAAACCACATTCAGTATCAAGTATGTATAACTTTTAAAAGTTCACATATTATAAACCACCCATTCTCCCTTCCTTTGTTCTCTCCTATCAGTAACACCACCTCATAGTGGGCTGTGGTTACTCATTCACTTAAAAAATGTTTGTTAAGCATCAATTGTATGCTTGGATTATGCAGAATGGAGAATCTGAGAGAGGAGGGAAGAGACTTCTAGCCTAGTTTGACTATGGAACCGAGAGCTAATTCTTCCTGATAAATTAAGTCGACAATAACTGCAGCAGTAATAACGGTAATAAAAATAATAACCAAGCTCCTGTCACTGAGAGCCAAGTGCACAAGCGCTTCACATCTATGAACTGGTTACACTTCAGATGCAAACCCAAAAGAATTGTATTAATACACTCATCTTTTCCGTGAGGAAACTGGGGCAGGGGGCAAAAAATTACCAATCTGAGCCTTCTTCATGGCTGTGCCCCATTCTCCTCCCAAGAAGCATCTACGCCTTTACCCCACCTGCCCCAGCCAGAGGGCAGGGGTCTGCCTAGGCCCGCCAATCCACTTTGGCTCATGCGCCAAAATAACAGCAGGAGCTCGAGCAAGTTTCGGTTAGTTGTACGCCATGGCAACTCCCTAGTAAGAGTTTCAGCTGATCTTTGGGACTGTACGTACTGCAAAGGTAGTCAGTTAGTACCAGGCATCGGTCCCGGCTTGGGGCTCTGCCCTAATGGGGGAGCCCGCAGGCAGGGCGCAATGGCCCGGCCCACTCCAAACGAGACAACAGGCAGAACGTGGATCCCGCCCGTCTTAATAGGGGGAAGGATCTGGCCCGCCAAAAAGGAGTGGCAGCAAGCAGAAAAGGAGCCAGACCGTCCCAATGGGAGGGCAACAGGCAGGGGACACGCGTGGACCCACCACGATGAGGATACAGCAAACAAGGCACAGCGCGGCCCAGCCCCGGTGGGGGGCAGCGGGCCCGGCTCACCATAGCGCCGTGCGCTCTGGGGGGTGCCGCAGCCGCTCAAGCGCACCCAGCGTGGTGGGCAGCGCGTGGGCCGCGTTTCGAGCCAGTAGAGCTATGAGCACGCGCGGCGCCTGCAGCGGCGACTCTGGGTTCCAGCGCTCCTCAGGGAAGTAGGCGGCGGTGCCTGGTGGGCCCCCCGGAGGCGGTGGCACCAGCAGTAGTAACAGCAGCAGCGCCGGCAGCGGCCGCCAGCGCCGCCGGCACGCCCGTGGGGCCGCCGCCATAGCGCCACGCGTCGCCTTTAAGCCGCTTTTTCTGCCGCCGGGCGCCGGCCGCGCCTTGAAGAAGTCATCGGGGCCCAGCCCTTGTAGTGCGCCTTAAAGGGGAGGAGCACGCCTGGCGGGAAGTCAGGCGTCAGGCCCCGCCTCCAGACTGCCTCCGTTCCGAAGCCAAATGAGACGTCATTTATGCCCGCCCAGAATGCTCCACCCTCGTTCCCACCTTAAAGGCACAGAGCACTTGGAACACTTCGGAACACAAGTGGCTCTGGGTCCTGCCCTGCCTCCGAGCGCCAGCTTCCACAGCTCTGCCAGGTGCACCGTCCAACTTCCCTCTGTTAAAAGACCCGAGCTGTGCCACTAAGAGGCCCTGGCTACTTAGGACCTGGTTTGGGACCCGAAAGATCTGAGCCTCAGTTTTCTCTGCTGCAACATGGGTTTTGCCATCCTGATCCCCGACGTCTCCGGTATATCCTTGAGGGTTGTTGGTCATGAAGGTCCTAAAGTCCACGGACCTGGCTTCAAATCCAGCCCCAGCCGTGAGCTCGCTGTGTGTGAGCCTCAGTTTGTCCATCTGTAAAATGAGATCATAGAGGTCCTGCAGTGTTGACGTAAAGATGGACGATGATGCTGGAACCTGTGGAACATGCAGCACCTGTTCTTCGGACGGTGGGATTGGTGTCTCCAAGTAAATGCTACCAAAGGATTGTTTTCCAATACTCTTTTATAATTGATTGTGTTTGTATCATTTTTTTTAATTTCAGGTTAATGTGAGGGTACAATGTTTACATTTGTCAGGTAGAGTCCCTATTATAATTGTGTCCCGCACCTAAGTGGTGTGCCATATCTAAAAAATCAAGTTTTAGGCTCGGCGCCTGTGGCTCAAGCGGCTAAGGCGCCAGCCACATACACCTAAGGTGGCGGGTTCGAATCCCCAGCCCGGGCCCGCCAAACAACAATGATGGCTGCAACCAAAAAAATGGCCGGGCGTTGTGGCGGGCGCCTGTGGTCCCAGCTACTTGGGAGGCTGAGGCAGGAGACTCCCTTGAGCCCAGGAGTTGAAGGTTGCTGTGAGTGTGATGCCACGGCACTCTACCCAGGGGGATAGCTTGAGGCTCCGTCTCAAAAAAAAAAAAAAAATCAAGTTTTAATAATGATGCTCAGATATTTATTAGTGGGGAGGAGGAAGGTTTAATATTACTTAAAATTCAGGGTGCAGGCAGAGCGTCGCAATGTACACTACAGTCAGGGCCTGAAGCTTAACGAAAAGAGTGGGCGTAACTTGCAAAGCCCCTGCCAAGCCCAAGGGTCTCCCTTCTGGTGGGGCGGGGGAGAAATGAGGGGTGTCACGTGATACTCTCCTCCCCCTGCTCTTCCATCCTCCTCCTCCACTTCTCTCGACTGTGCTTCTGTTTTCCTTTTTTTCTTCAATAATCATCTATGCAAATTGTTTGGCTGTTTCTGGAACGCAGTCCGATCTTAATAGGTTACAGGTGATGGGGAGGGGCAGCCAGGCAGTGGGGTGGGCCTAAGCCTCTTCACTGCTGAATCCAAGTAGGGGCACCCAGGGGTATAAGTGAAACTTTCCACAAAAAGATAAAAACAAGTTTACACTCTATAGATTTGATGAGAAAAGATCCTTCAGATTAAGTAAAAAACAATGCATGCCATGTGGAAGGATTTAGACCATGGGCAAACAATGGTTTTCTCAGAGGGGGCGGTATGACAAATTTTTGTTGCTGTAGGTTTACCAGAATTAACATCCATATCCTGTCCCGGGTAGAAGGAAGATAGCTGAAAGAAACTGAAGTGCACATGTATGGCAGAAGTTAGAATTGGAGGGAAAACTCTGGCAAAGAGTTAGAATTCTATCTCATTCTCTTGGGAGAGGCTGGAAAATCCAGAACAGAATAGAAGGAAACCATCTCCACAGAGCATGCAAAGTCCCCCTGAAAGAAGAACATGAGGGAAGTCCCTGTCGAAACCACTCCGGAAGCAGCTGGAAAGCTCGTGACAGTGGAGAAGCTGCCAACCTCAAGTGAGCAGATGTCTTTTCTGGCAAGCAGAGAAGTAAAAGCTTCTTTCCCAACTGGGAAATTTGATACTAAATTAAGATTTGGAGCTAATAAACAAATCCAAAATGCTTATAGCAAGCTGAGGAGGGAGAAATCTGTAACCTGTATCACAAAGCATTAATATCCTCATTTACAAAGAGTTAACAAATATCAATAAGAAAGAGATAAACACCCTTGAAAAGTAAGTAAAAGCTATGAACAGGAAATTCACTAAAAACAAAATCCCACAAACATATAATGGCCAATGAATACATTTTAACTTCAAGTTAGTCATTAAAGAAATCCAAAATGAAATGAGGTGTGTGTCTAATTGACAGGGTTTTTTTTTTCCTTTTATGAAAAGTCTTAGTGTTTAAAAAGGATTTGCAGGGTGGTGCCTGTGGCTCAGTGAGCAAGGCGCCAGCCTCATATACCGAAGGTGGGGGGGTTCAAACCCAGCCTCCGCCAAAATTGCAACAAAAAAATAGCTGGGCATTGTGGTGGGCGCCTGTAGGAGACTGAGGCAAGAGAATTGCCTAAGCCCAAGAGCTGGAGGTTGCTATGAGCTGTGACACCACCATACTCTACCGGGGGTGACAAAATGAGACTCTGTCTCTAAAAAAAAAAAGAAAAGAAAAGAAAAAATGACTTGGAGAAAATTTGCAAATGCTGCTGGTGGGGGTATAAAAACATACAGCTTTTCTGAAAGCACAAAAGTTACAAAAGCCTAGAATAGTGTATATGCATTGGCCCAGAAATTCAACTTGTAGATATTTATTCAATAGAAGTGAGGAGGGATGTGGGTAAAGATTCAGCTCTGGAATGTTCCTCAAGGAGGCAGTGGGCAGAGTTGACTGGACCTGGGGACTAAAGACTGGCTGCATGGGGCAAGGCCCTCTGTCTCTCTGAGGCTCAGTTTCTTCATCTGTAAAATGGAAGTATAAGGATACCCAAAACCCAAACAGGAGAAATGACAGCCTGGCATGTAATAAATGCTCAATAAATGGGAGCTTAGCAAAAAAGCCTTAATTAAAATGACTATAAACAGGCAGAAGATAAGTAGGTGAAGGGGAGGAACCAAAGGTTCTCAGATAAGGAACTAAAAATAACTCCTAAACTTCTAGGCTAGAGTTGGAGACCTCCCTGGAGACCACCATTGAAAACAAACACACATACTTTAAATCCTGAGATTTCCCAGTTGAGGATTTACCCATGCAAACCTGCACTTGCATGAAAAGTTTGTACAATGTTATTTCTTATGGCATTAACTGTCAGTATAGAAGACTAGAAACCAAACACCCATCTGTTAGGTTCTAATTAAATAGATTCAGAGGCCCATACACAATCCCTCATCCCCAGTTGCAAAGCTCTAAATATTCTAATACCCAGAAGTCTTTCTAAGACTGTTTAACCACTTATACAAGTTAATGTTAATATTGATAAATTTATCTGTAGGGATTGACCATAGGTTGCTGGCCCAAATCAGGCAGGGAATGTATTAACTACTGCTGCATATCAAACTACCCCCAAATTATGCCCATCTTTCAGAACCCTTGCTGGTGGAAGACCTACGGCCCCCATCACTATAATCTGGCTTTCCAAGTTGAAACAAGAAATAGTAGCTGCTGGCAAGCATTGAATCCTGTTGTTAGAGATGAGACAAAAATTCATCACAATTTCAGCTCCTGAGAGCTGAGCCCATGTGCAGGTCAGAGCCTGGATTTAGAGTCTTTCTGTGGCTCAGACACATCTCGTGGCTTCCCATCACCCTTGTTCACCATGATCTTGGCCATTCTGGCTGGGTCAGAAGACAAAGTACATGCTGTTTCATCCACAAACCCTCACTCATGACAATCACATATACTCTGCACATACACCCAAATCCCCAATCCTTCTCCTAGTAATTCACTAAAATGGCCCAGGAGTCTGTGAGAGCCTCACCTGACTCCACTCCTGGTCTATGTCCCCTTGGCTTCTTCCCCTTGCTCCTTCTCCCATGGGGTCTCTGAATAGCCAGCCAGAGTGCAGGATACATCACTGGCACCAAGGGCCTTTTTCAATTCTGAAACAAGAGATAAATTCCTGAACACATATAGGGAAACCCAGACATTAAACAGCTTCCATGCATTTTGACAGAAAGAACACACATGTCTCAACCAGAAATCCTAAACAAATGGCTCACGTAGGGCCTCTCTCGATACTTGTGCCTGGGGCAGACATTCCTAACTAATCCCTGCAGGCTTTGTTGAGCTAGCTCAAATTTGTAATATGCTGCTCTGGGCTGACATCACAAATCAATTGAAGATGGAAACTCTCAAGAACAGTAAAGTCTCTAGGAACAGAAACTCATTGAGGTTACACATTTATGGATTAATTTTGTAGTCACAGACTAGCTTTCTTCAACATAAAACTTCTGAGTTAGGGGAACTCAATTCTTGTCTTAAGACCAAAGACACATCCTCATCCTTATTCCCTCACTCCCAGGACCCCATCATTTCTGGGTTTCTTTCACCTCTCTGACTGCACCTTCTATGTCCCTTCTTCTTCTTTGTGTCCTTCAAATATGGGCTCTTTGAGATTCATCTCTGTACTCTACACATGCTCCCTGGATGTGGCCCCTTCTCATGCACTTAGTGATATCTCAAGCCAACAAGCCAACCACTTTGACACGTCCAGCTCTCACCTTGACTCCACTCCTGGTCTGTGTCCCCTTGGCTGCTTCCCCTTGTTTGAGACTATTCTATGTACCCAGGACTGTAGCCTCGCCCCCCTCCCTAGCTTCCAATCTGGCTTCTGTTACCTTTAGCTCACACCTTGTCCATGGCTCCCCATTGCCTGCACAATAAAGTTTAAACTTCTCTGTTGTCATTCAAACACCTGCATATCCACTCCAGAAGCTTCCAGCCTCCCCCTCCCCCTGGTGGAGCACCAGCTCCACAGATGCTGCCAGTCCCTGTATCATCACTGCATAATGTTCACTCCACATTAGTGCACACATTTCAGTGGTCCTGGGTATAGGTTCATGAGTGAAGTGACAAGCTAGGAGGTAGAAAGATGTTTCTGGAGCCACTTCCAAGCCCAGGAGCTCCTAGGAGCCCTACCCCACATCTCAGAACTCTCAGGAGCCTCAATTCCAGCCCAGAGAAAAACAGAGAGTGGTTTTGAGTGAATAAATGAAAATGTCTATGTTTAGTTTTTGAACTCTGCCTCTTTCTCACTTTGAGAACTCCTACATAGGCCTCAAAGCCTCACTCCAGTACACCCTCCTGCAAAGAGCTTCCACCATCACTGCCCCTCTGAGTTCCTCTATCCTTGGACCTCCATTGGCCCATTCCTGACCTGAGTTCAAAGGGCAAATATGGGGGTCATCACATATAGTCAGGGGACATCAAGGGAAACCAGGTTCCTCTAAGCCAACGGTTCTCAACCTGTGGGTTGCAACCCACAAGAACTGTATTAAAGGCTCGCAGCATTAGGAAGGTTGAGAACCACTGCCCTAAGCCATGGCAGGGCAGGGCTCACCTTGGTTGATTCTCTGCAGCAAGACCTTCTGGATGATATCCTCATAGATGTTCTCAGTGGTCAGGGCCTGGCTACCCACAGCAAGGACATCCCCCTCAAAATCAGGCAGCTCCTGGAACCAGAGTGGATTAGTGGCTAGGCTGAAAGAGAGGGCCACTGGAGGCCCATGACATAGATTTGAGCCCCAGCCCTGGCATTGATAAGCTAGGAGGCTTTGGGTCTCAGTTCTCTAATCTTTAAAATGAGCTGCCTAACATATTCCTTAGGGTGTTGTAAAGATTGAGGGGATTAATGGGACAAAATAAATACACCTCACAGGGAATAGAGAGGGTGTCTGTGACCTCCCACAGACACTTCCTCTAGAGCTGCAGTCTCCAAGCTTTTGAAACCACCAGGGACTGGTTTCATAGAAGACAATTTTTCCATGGACTGGGGTGGTGAAGGAGGGATGAGACAGAAATCAGAGCTCAGGTGGTGATGTAATGGGGAGTGGCTGTGAATACAGACGAAGCTTCCCTCACTTGCCCACTGCTCACCTCCTGTTGTGTAGCCGGGTTCCTAAAAGACCATAGACCGGTAGTGGTCCTTGGCCCAGGGGTTGGGGACTACAGCTCTAGAGGACACTGTTAGTACATGCATCAGACCCTCAGCTGGTGCCCCTGGCTTGTGTGCCGAGGCCCTCTGACATCCCCCTCACCTTCTCACCTCCTCACCCCCTCACTCATTGAGCTCCAGCCACACCCACCTCCTCACTGTTTCTTCAACTCACTTGGTACGGTCTGGCCTTAGGGCATTTTCACATGCTATTCCCTCTACCTGGAACGCCCTTCCAGGAGCATGGCTTGCACTCCAGTCAACTGCTTCCCAAGCATCATTTCTTACCTGGCAACCCCACCCCACTCCCCCCGCTAACACATACCTATCCTATCGTCCCTTCTTATGTATGACCTCATGATATGTAGCAGATGGGACCCACACCAACTCTCCATGGCAGACACAGGGTAAAGAAAGAGCACTGCCATGGAGGAAGCAGAGGGCACCCAACCCAGCTCCAGGGTTTGGGGACAAAAGTCTCTGATGATCTCAGAGCATTCTCTCCACTTTACAGAGAGACATAGATGCACAGTCACACTGTGTAGGACCTGCCTGTGTTCCCTCCCCATGAGCTCACCTTTTTGCGGCTTGGATCAAGTTGACTCAGCACAAAAGGCAAGAAAATGCACAACACCCAGCCCCGAATGAACTTCTTCTGCGCCGACCCGCTGTCTGACTCGAACTTCTGCATGGCACACCCAGTGGCCTGTTTAGTAACCACCTGAGTACCCGGGCCAACTGCCACCCGCTCCCCACAGACCTCACCTTTAGCACACGCCCCCTGACTTTCTCTAGCTGCTGGGCAGCCTGGTCACAGTCCAGGGCTGTGGTCAGACACTGGTCAGCCAGCTGCAGGAAGGTGGCCACGGCATCAGCCATGAGCTGTGGGAGAAAGTGCCATGATGACCACATGCTCCGGCTTCTTGGGCCTCATGTCCGCCTGACTTAGCCCTTCTCAGCATCCAGTCAGCTACCTCCCTGCAACCGTCTCCTCTTCATCTCAGGACCTGGCTAGGGGTTGTCCAGTCTGTGGCAGCCTATGTGCAAGCTGGCAGAAAGCCCCCTTCTTCTGGGTGCCCAGATGGGGGAGTAGAGATGCAACCAGAACTCAGACTTCTCTGAGGCTGAACAACTGAACAACTGTACCAGGCAGCACTGGGTGGGTCATCTCACTCCCTACCATCTTCACTCACCATGTCATCAGCAGGTATCATCTCCTTGGCCTTCTTGCTTCTCCCCACTGACAGCCACCCTCCTGCTCCAGAATTCTGCCCTGCCTCCTCCCATCCTGCCTCTGATGGCTTGTTCTTCCTAAGCCTTGAATCCGGTTATGCCTCTCCCCTGCTCACCCACCTTCTATGGCTCCCCACTGTCCTTAGGACAGAAGCCAGCCTCTTAGCCCTGTACTCAAGGCCTGCCCAATCTGCCCACCCACCTCGTCCATCCATCTTTACCTTTCTGCCTTCCCTTGAAATGTAGTCTCTCTAAACTGCTTCATGTCTCCCAAATGGAGATGGGTTCTTTCAAAACTGTTCCTTCTACCCAGACATCATCCACCCCCATTCTTCCCACCACTGTCTAAGCTTGGAAGTCCCCACCACAGACCTGTCTACCACATAAGGTCACTCCCTGGTCACAAGCTCATGTCCAGATGAGACTGGGTACCTAGTGAGCAAGGGCCAGGTCTGTCTCAGTCATCATGGTCACCCTAGGGCACACTTGGCAAGTGCTCACTGGAGGCTGCTGTTCTCACCTGGCATCTTCCCAGCCTTCTGCTCACCCTCACCTTCTGTGAGAGATCCTGGGTCCCAAACACTAAGCTCCGCATCCCCAGGAAGCCAAATCGTGCCACCAGCTGCCCCAAGTGCCCCTGGCTCCGCTCAGCCTCTCGGTAGCATGTCTGCATCATCTCTGGGTCCCATGGCATCTCCCCAAATGAGTAAACCTGTGCTCCAGCAGCAGTTGGTAAGGAAAAATACTGTCAATTGGTAGAAATGCAAGGCCAAGGAACCCACAGACAAGTGACCAGAAGAGAAACACAAATGGAAACACATCCTGCCTTTGTTGTCAGCAAAGAAACTAGCTTGTAACAAAGTGATAGTGAACTATGATGTAATGGACATAAAATGGTAAAAACCTCCAAAATTACAATAAGCAGTGCTGGCACAACTGATAAGAAATGAGCACAGTTGGTCCCTGTTAGACACAGATCTATGAACACTACTTGATGGTGGTGTTGGGCCCTGGGGATGCAGAAATGGAGTTCTCTAACTCAGTCTTTGCTTACAAATTGGAGGCGATAAATTATAGACAACCACCCACAGTGGGATATAAATGATGCAGTGATAAAGGAAGCATGGGCAACTGCATGCACTGAAGGGGAACACAGACAGTACAAAGAAGATGATTATGAAACAGAGGCTTAAGGATGAGTTGAAGTTGCCTGACACATAGTAACTGTAGTTACCTGCATTGAACAGAAGTCTCTGGCTCAAGGGACAAGATTGGCCATTGCTCAACAGGGAAAGAGGAGGAAGAGGAGTTTGGAGGAAAGATGACCCTACATTGATTTTGCTAAAGTGTTGCTCTTGTCATCTGACTCCTTTCCACCCATGTTTCAACTGTGCCCTATGGCTATCGCCTGGTGAGGTTGAGGGATTCACCAGGATACACAATAAGTAATCAATTGTCTAGAACAAAATTCAGAGAGTTTTCAAACAGGAATGATGCAAGATTCATGCAACTCTTCTGTAAAGTGACCACATTACCCATCAGCGAGATGAACACCTACCCACCAGAGCTCACCTCCCTGCGCAGTCGCGCACCCGAGGGGTTCCGGCGCAGATGGCTGCACAGGCGGTCCATGCCCTGGGCTAGGAGGCTCCGTACCAGTTCGAGCACGGCTTCCACGGTGCCCAGCAGCGTCCGTGTGACTCGAGGCAGCTGCGTGTCCACCTCCCGGCGAAGGCACGACTCGAGCAGGCCCTGAACATCCGCTGGGAATAGAAGACACTGCCCTGCAGTGTCCTCCCCAAGATGCACCGCGGATGGGGGATAGATGGGGACTCTGGGCTCAGCAGGGTGTGCTGGATGGGAGCGCGAACTCTGAGCACCCTCTTCTAGCCCGTTTTTTTTGGTGAGAAAACTGAGGTTCAGAAAGGCTCACATCTGCAGTAAAGGCACACACCTGGGAGGTAGAGCTGGGCATTAGAACCCAGGTTTCTCTCTTTTACTGAACAGTGATGGGGCCACCTTGACACTCCCCTGCCCGTGTCTCCGCCTTCCGTCCACCGGTCTCCCGACCTCATTTTGCCCTCTTCTCCCTGGCCAGCTTACCCTCAGACCTCACTCAACTTCTCTGGCCCGCCTCCTGACCTGGTCCCTTCCAGCCTCTGCCTCAGGCCACGCCCACTCCCCATTTAGGCCACGCCCCAGACCCCCCCCCCTTTCTTTTCTCCAACACAGCCCCCCTCCAGACCTCGGTGTCCGCGGGACAGACTCTAGGTCCTGTCCTCTACCCTCTCCCTGTTCCCTTCCATTCCCTAGGCCCCTTGGCCCAGACCCCGCCTGTCCAGGCCCGGCCCAAGGCCACGCCCATTTATCATTAAGACCGGTCCACTCTCTGCGTCGCCCTGCCCCTTCCTCCGGGCCCCGGCCTCACTCTGCAGCCGTTCCGCCACGCGAGCTCGCAGCTGCAGCAAATGGTCCACGTCCGGGCGGATCGTCCTTTCCAGGGACTCGAGCAGTTCGTCCTTTTCAGGCTGGAAGGCGCGGAGCCCCGCAGACACCCTGGCCAGGACAACTGCGTGGACGGCGTCCAGAAGCTGCCCACAGCGGTCAAGGGGACCCCACACAGACCAAGAGTGTGGGAAAGAACCGAGACACGACATGGGGAAGAGAAACAGGGAGAGACGCAGAGAGACCGGGAGAGAATTTAGGCGACAATCATGGAAAGGGGAACCCTGAGCTCCCGGGTCTAGACCCCATCTCCCCGCCCTGAGTACCTCGGTCCAGGCCCAAGCACGGGCGCGGCCGGCTCCCCGCAGGCTTGGCAGAGTCTGGGCTCTCAGAGCCGGCAGCAGCTCCTGCATCAGCACCGCGGTCAGTACCTGCCGGAGATGGGGCTATAGGCACAGCGGCCAGCCAGGAAGGGTCCTGAGGATCCCGTTGCAGTGTATGGGGTACTGACCTCAGCGTCCGAGCCCAGGGTCGCGTCATCGTAGCCAAAGTGGCCTTGATGCTGCCGGTGGAGTCGGACGGCATCCAGGAAGGCCCGGGCAGCAGGGGCTTGGCTTCGCTGCAGGACTGGGAGGGGCTGCTCCTCAGTGCCCTCCAGCCCCTCCCCTGCCTGGCTTCTCAGGGGAGGAAGCCCTCCGCTTTGCCAGGTCCCCAAACACCCAAGTTTCACCCATCTCTGGAACTTAGAACAAGCAGTTCACTCCTCTGGGAACAGACTACCTCTGGTGCTCCACCAACCCATAAGGCACCTTTATTTGAGTTAGGGACTTATAAAAAGGAGCCTTCTACTGGCAGCTACAGCCTGTCAGGCTATGCTGTGGCTCCAAGATGCCCCTTCAGTTGAGTACAAAAACCTGGCCAAATTTATGTGTCTGTAGTGTTCTTCTTTTTCCCCTGGCTGTCCCCTCATCTTTTCTAGAACCCAACTTCCCCTCCTCTGGGAAGCCAGTTCTGGCCACCTCCAGGCTGAGCTCCTATAGGGCCTGGCAGATGTTCCTGTTACAGTCCTGGTCACTCATAACTGCCCGGTGCCCTCTCTGTCTCCCCTGACAATCTGTTTATGGGTAAGGAAATTGAGGCTTGGAGAGCTCCCACAGCCAGCAAGGGCAGAGCCATCTAACCCCAAACCCCAAGCTCCTCCACTGCCTAATACTTCCTGGCACCCACCTGTGCCCCGAAGCCGAATGCCACCCTGCAGGGCTAGCCTCCAGGCATGCTGTGCCTCCCTAGTAGTTGCAGAGAAGCAGAGGTGATGACGAAAGGGGTGATGCAGGAACAGAGGGAAGTTCACAGGTGCTTCCAAGAGAGAGTCAGAATTTTCCTGTGTATGATCCCCTGAAAATAGACAGAAGAGGTCACATTTTTTATACCTTCATGCACTATGAGAAAATACCCATGAAATGTATAGCAACCCCAGGCATGAGCAGTTGCTCAGTAATCACGATCACATTTTTATAGTTGCCATCCTTACTCCAACAGGGTTGGGCTGGACATATTCCTGGAAGAAGCAGGACCACTTTAGTCCCTTGTATGCCCAAGGCAGACATCACTAATCCATCTCAGCACTGTTTCTCAGCCTCAGCATCCTCCTGATTACAGTGCTTCTGGCAGCCACCTCCAATCTGTCCAAATAGGGATGGGATCAGAGCCCTCTCTGCTGTGAGGCTCTGGACTCAGCCAGGCTCCATGGCTGAAGGAAAGGATGCGATTCTGGCTTTGCCCTTTATTAACTGTGTGAAATGTCCTCATCTGTGGAATGGGGTAGTTAGTGATGGGACCCCATTGCTGCTGGGCAGACTCTGAGATAATGCAAGTCTTGTGCTGAGCACTCACCAAGTACATGCCCCAAATTCTTGCTCCTTACCCTAATCCCTTTTCTGTACCATGTTGTGATGAAAGAGAGAAAGGAAAGGGGAAAGAGAAAGAAGGAAGGAGAGAGAAAGGGAGAGAGAGAGGAGAGAAAGAGAAAGAGAGGGATATCTCCACTGAATGGTGCACCCAGAGCCAACTCTGTATAATTTTCCTTCTGGTTAGTGCCCATCTCCCCACATGCATGCTGATACCGGGTTTTATTGTTTTTATCCTTTGCTATTTTGATTCTGGTCTTTTGGCCTGATTCTCCCTCTCACACTGGTGAAAGTGGGTTTTTCCTCTCCAGGGCAAGGGTGCTTCCCCCGGAGCAATGCTGCAATTCTGGAGACATTTTTGGTTTGTCACACGTGGAGTGGGGGGGATGCTACTGGCATCAAGTGAGTGGAGGCCAGGGATGCTGCTCAACATCCTACAATGCACAGGACAGGCCCACACCGCAAAGAATGATCTGGTTCCAAATATCAACAGTGATCAGGTGGAAAAACGTGCTCTTAGAGACTACAGGGCCTTACCAGAGGAACCTGGGCAGAGAGCATCCAGAAGGCGGAGATATTCATGCTGGGAAGTCAGAAGAGTGTACCCCGTTAGGGCTACAGAGCCAAGGGGATGAATCCCACTTTCATATTCCTACAAAAATACACAAAAACCAACTTTGGACAGATCTAAACTGTGAATTTCATGTCCCAACTGAAAGATCAAGGGAAGATTTCAGATTAGCTGAAAAGTCTTCTGTCCCTCTGTCCCTCTCTTTCTTTTCTCTTCTCTCCCCCCACTCACCCTCTTTCTCCTCCATACCTTCCTTCCTCTTCCACCTTCTCTCTCTCCCTTCCTGCCTTTCTTCCTCCATAGTAAGAGCACGCAGTGTTCACTAGCTCACTATGCACTGGCCTAGTCTCAAGTGCTGTCTGAGGATCAACCCATTGAATCCTCAAAGCCTTACACAGTGTGGAACATCATCAACCCATTTCATGAAGGTGGCAACTGAATGCCAGGGAAGGAGTGAGCTACCCACGCTCCCCAGCTGGGAAGCACAGGGGTCCCAGTGTGACTTGCAAAGACCTCAAGAGGTCTTTAAACCACAGCATCTATACTGGCCATGAATCTGACCACAATCCTACCCCTAGTCTGGGTCTTGATTTACTCACCTGGCACAGCAGAGAATGGGGCAGGTTAGTTGCCCACCCCAGGCCAAACATGTATGGGCCCTCAGTTCATACCAGGTAATTGAGAGAGGTGGGAATTATGCTGGGAGATGGACTCCAAAGCCATTCTGGGGGAGGTGGTGGATGGAGGGACCTGGAGGCAGAAGGGATGTAGGCCACCCGCTCACCTCCTTGTGGCTGAACCACTCCAGGCGGCCATCCCCACGCAGAACGCAGAAGACTGTCTGCCACTGGGGTGGATGACCCTGAAGCTGGATCAGGGGTCCTTGGTGTTCACGAACTCGGGGCAGCTTCTGCAAGAGGAAAGACCGGTAAGTGTCATAGCGATTATTCTTTATCACGCATGACCACAGTATGCACTTATTTGCTGCACTTAGGAATATGAACTAATTTCATCCTCCCTATTGCTTGGAAGCATATCCTGTCCTATTGAGACTCAGATAAGACCCCAACCCTGGATCACTCGCAGTGAGCAAGTGATCCTTAAGGAAAGGACTCAGCTAAGCAGTGCCTGGGTTCTTGACCCACTGAAGCAATGCTGATTTCGTGGTATATTATTATACTCTCTTTCTAGCACATGTCAGAAGTTACCCTGCAGTATGAACTTGCTTGGGGTCTTCTGTTTTATTTTTTATTTTTTATTTTTTTTGAGACAGAGCCTCAAGCTGTCCCCCTGGGTAGAGTGCTGTGGCATCACAGCTCACAGCAACCTCCAACTCCTGGGCTCAAG